GATGAAATTGTCACCATAGGAGTTTCTCAAAACATAAACTATTTGGTCAAAAACAAAAAAAACTGAATGAAAAGTTTCAAAATAATTTTTTCAAGCTAATTTCTAAAACTTTGAATTTTCTTTTGTTGAAGAAAAACAATTCTGGGCATTAAAAAAAAGAAAAAAAGAATTTCAAAAATAATAAAATTCTTCTTTGAATACTGAAGAACAAAACGTGATTTTCCAGAAAAACAAATGCTAAAACTCCCAGCCTGACAGCCAAGCACCTAAACAACCTGGTTAGTGTCGGATTAAAGGTGATCATAATGCAGCAGCAGCTTCGCTACCGGAAAGAATCATCCTTTATACATTTAAGTTGCTGTCTGCTTCCGACGTCGTTTTGAGCGATTCGAAAACGTCATCGCCATAAAATCGCGACGAGAGAAAACGTCACACAGTGGCAGCTTATTTCAGACGTTTCCACCTGCTCGTTAGACCGCTGAACACCCGTATGCATGTAAAAGAACAGCGAAAAATGCTGTTATTTTGTTTGATTAAAAAAAAAAAAAAAGCACGCACCTGTAATACTATTTTCATAACAAACACAATCAGTCCGCTGCGGTGAGCAGTAATAACTGTCAGAGAAACAGATTACTCCTGAGACACGGAGAGCCCGAGGAAACGCTGAGCTCTGGTGTCATTTATTCTTTTCAATTTTTCAGCAGGTGAATCAATGCAATATCCTTGTAAACAGACTTTATTCGTGTTTTTGTTTTTTGCTAAAAAGAAAAAAGGGAGAAAATATCACTTTTAGGAAAACCAGTAATAATTTATTGAAACAGAAAAATCACATGTACATTTTCTGTAAGAGGGAAGTAAAACGCCACCTGTTGGCTGTTTATTGCAACTGTCGCTGTAACCCTAGTGACAGTTTTTAAAGGCGCATTATGATGTAAAATTAACTTCTTTTTGCATTTTACATCATGCTGTGATGTTACTCCCTCATCAAAAACCTACCTGGAGTGTTGCTTTGATTCTTTTGTCAATGTTTGAGAAATCCTTTAATCTCCATGGCAACCATTCAGCTGTACAGAACGCTTGGATGAATTTAGCCCCGCCCTCAAGACAGAGCTCCTCCTCTCAGAGCAGTCGTCTCCCGCTCAGCTCCTTCAGACTAGCCAGAGACAATTAGCAAACACCTGGTGGACCTGTGGATTCGTTATGAGAGCTACTTCTCAGTGCAACACTGGTAAAACTGTTATAGAGTTAATAAAGGAGCCATGTGATGAAGGCCGAGTGTCAGAGCAGGAGTTTTTAAAGAGACAGAGGCCTAATTTCAAGGCCTAATATTACAAGGTCAAATATGTCTCATTTGATATGAAGCATTTTTATAAGAACTACACATTGTGCTATGAAATGGCACTATGTACCAGGAAACGACACAGTACCGCCCCTTTAAGGAGTCTACATATAGTGGAAGTTGGTTCACCAATGTGGAAATCAGCAGGAAGAGATAAAAACCATTTTGAGTCTCGCTTTATTCTCAATATCTTTCAACCACAAAACAAAACATTTAACGGGAGAACAACACGCTCTACATTTCTGCTCTGTCCCCTTCACAATAAGGGCCTACAGCCTAGTGTAAAACATATATGTTTGTGTCCGCCACAATATTTTAAAAGCAGAAACTTTTCAGCAGCAGCTCTGAATGTGTCACAGCCAGAAGAAACCAACATGATTTACTCCAAAATGAGCTATCCCAAAGATTCGGGCCCCAACGCGAGCCAAGGGCTTACAAGCTGTGCTCAGAGCCCCCGGAGCCGAGCAAACACCGGTGCCGCCGTCTCCACGGGCCCCTGCGCTGTCTGGCGTGATCTTTGCGTGTCTGTGTGAGCGCGTGCGGTGGGCTCGGTCCGGAGCCTCAGTGTGTTTTGCTCAGATTGCTGCGCTGCTGCTCCTGGTACTCCCTGGAGTCCTCCCAGGGACGGGGACCACGGATGTTCTTCCACTCGTCCAAATGAATCTCCTTCAACTTCTGGAAAGGAAAAACAAACAGAAAAGGATGAACTTCTTTCCTTTCTTAACTTCAGGATAGAAGTTTTTCCACTGCTAAAAAGCAGATTAAGCTTTGCAGATGCCACACGACCAGCATAGGAATAACCATAAAATGTGCACAAGACCCACCCAACCACCCACTTCTTTACTGTCGGGAAGGTATGACGAGCAAATGTGGAAACAATATATTGTTACAACTGGAAGCAGCTAATTAGCATCTCAACTACAACAACACTGAGTAGTCAGAAAATTCTCCACAGAGCGCTTCTACAGGTTTCACCAACTTAAATTTCAGACGTTTAGAGACTTTTAAAAAGTCTAAAGAGAAATGTACAAACTTCATCCAGTCATCTGGTGATTAATTCACCCATGCTATACGCAAAAAAAGCTAGCTAGCAAGGGCATGTTAGCAGCTCGTTAGCTATAGCCTCAACCATTTCAAGTCAGAGAACGTAAGGAAGACGTCTGAGTGCGACTCAAAATGTTGCCTGAAGAAAAGTTCCACAAGAAAAAACAAACATACAAGATTAAATAGTCCTGTTAATACAAAATTTAAGACATTTTAAGGCCTTCATTTTAGATACATGGATTTAAGGCTTTCTAAGGAAGCGCAGACACCTTGATTGCAAACCCAAGACGGGTTCAGCTGTCCCCAGCGTCTCTTACCTCGTACTCCTCCTCCAGGATGACCGCCTGCTTCTCTGCATTCACCTTCGCCTCCAGTGAAGGGTCCAGCTGCAAGACGACAGAGAGACAAAAGGAAAAAAAGAGAGTTTAATGTTGCAGTCTGAGATTTCTGCTTTAAGGCTTTCCTTATGAGATCATATGTCTGGTAGCTTCAACTATTTACTTCAAAAATAATATGCGATTCTGCTTTCTTAGTAGCAGCAGAACCATTTTTACCCTGTAAATGTCACATTTTGTCCCTTTACAGCCACACACTTGTGCGTATTTTACAGACCAAGAGTAAATGGTGGATGAAGATGGTGCAGGTGCAAGGCTCTGTCAACTGGACATATGTTTGACAAATTAGGTCAATGTGGGAGTGACAAGAAGATGGTAAAAAATACTTATGGAAGTTTCCCACAAGCTATGAAGGAGGCACAGTGGATTTGTGGGAAATGTAGCTCTGGTCAGATAATAAAACATTTAAAATCCAATAAGTTTTTTTTATCATCCGTTTCTCAAATACATGTTAAGTTAAGCTAAAAAATAATCGAGATGTCATCTGACCATCTTATTGACTGGCTGCCAGTCAAATTGATCAAGTTATCAAGTTTGTAAAGAACCATGAACTTGGGTCAGAACAAAATTAAGGAGCTATTTATTATATCTGCCTAATAAGCCGATTGATTCAGCACCAATCTGAGAAGGTTTGACAAAACAAAACAAAAAAATAATAAAAAGATTTCATCAGAGTTTTATTTTTGTGGTCAAAAGTCCAGGACTTTGCAATTAAAATGGACCTCGGTCAGGAGCGGGTCCAAAATGAAAACCCGTCCTGAGCATCACTTTTAATGATATTCCACTGTAACAATGCTGAGGGTTTTCTGTGTGTGACAGATGAGTTTTACAATTCCCAGACTGACTAATTACATTACTACAGCTAATAAATGATTTATAGAATATTTTGCAGCCGTCAAACTAGAGAATTAACAGTCTTAAAAATTAGTATCATATTAACAGTCTAATAGATGTACTTTATACAAAAAAACATCTCAAATATGAAGCCATTAAAAGGTAAAAACAACAAAAAAAAAGTCCAGAAAGGAATAAAAGCCTTGAAGTTCATCCCGGCCCTCAGGCTGAATTAAATCACTGAAGAGAAAATGCAAATTTAATCACACTGGACTTAATCTCTGACGGTGGTTTCAGCGTATATGTGATGTCTGAGAGAGAGCCGGCTAATGTAATCAGCTGATACCAACCCAAGCAAAAACTGGAAGAGTGCTTTTAATAACGCGCCTTGTCTCCGCTCTTTAAATATTCAGCACATTAAATCACATGCGCAGCCACACATGCGGAGGCGAAGTTGGACTCCGCAGGGGTTTGGAGCGGGTCCGTGTGCTGCACACACCTTCGCAAAAGGAGTGTGTGTGTGTGTGAGAGGAGGGGGGAGCCACAGATACAAGGCCCGCGGCAGAGCGCGCTCATCCGCCATCGACAGCCGCCGCACATCAGCGGTAACGTAAGAAAATACGGCCCGGCCATCTGGCTCCCACCCAGATGACTTATATCTGAGTCTGTCAGCGTAAGAGAGAACTCACTGCCAGATCATAACGCCTTCTGGTTACATAATCGTCGTTTTAACTAACTGGTTGCTATTTTGTGAAATATTAAACCTTCCTTTCGACTCTGTAGCCTTGTACTTGTTTTAACGTTGTAAAAGGTGCAACCTCCTAAATATCAGGGGTTTATTGTTGTATTTAGCCTATTTTTGCTTTATTTTGTGGTTTTGCGTTAAAAGAGGGTGTACTTTCTTTTTAAACACAGACAATGGATAGAATCCTATTCAATATTAACAAAATCTTCTATAATGACAAATCCAATAACAATACAAAAAAACGAAACCTTCTCCATGTCAGAAGTCTTTAATTGGAGACCACTGTCCATATCTTGATCCAAACGAAGTCTTATGTGTTTCCAGACTGACCAAAATCTAAATCTGTTTTCAGAGAACTGGCGACCTGTCCAGGGCGTACCCAGCCTCTCGCCCAAAATGTTCGCTGGAGATAGACAGCGGCACCCCTCCTAACCTCACAAAAGGACAAAGGTGTACAGAAAATGGATGGCCGGATGTTTTCAGAGATTCACTTTTATGAGACGACTGAACACAATGAACTTGGAGGTGAGGGCGTCTGAACCGCACCGCAAAAAAAACTAAATCTCACCAAGTACTTTTGGTCTAGTTTATAGTAGAAATATCTTAGTACACTACAAATAAGACAAAACTAACAAGTACATTTTCAGCAAGACAGAGGAGTTTGTTTCAAGTCAGTAATTATTTGTACTAATTTTATAAAGTACCAGTTCCACTGGCAGATTGTTTCACTTGTAACAAGACTCTTTCCCCCCCCCCATGTTATAAGTGAAATAATTTACTAGTGGAACTAGTACTAGTTACTATAGAGAGTCTCAACTTAATTTCCTATCCAGGTTTCCTACACTCACTTTACTTCCTGCTAACAAAACTTAAAAACATATTCAAACAAGAGCAGCTTTGTTGAATGCTCAGCCATACTAAAATTCAGTTTAATTGGGGAAGGAGAACAACGTGATGCTAGTTGATGACATAATCAATATGCTAAATTACAAATGACCTTGTACAATATTAAAGACCTTACCTCAGAAAACACTGATGAATAAACAACAACTAAAACTGTGAACGAACAAGGCTCATCTTCTTGTAATGTTTCCGCATTTTATTTAAAGATGAAAGAGGAAAACCATATTTAATCTGACCTCGCTGAAATTTAACGACATGAATCTTGCAGTTTCAGTTCTAGCCACTAGGAGGAGTACACACGCTGGTAACGGTGCCACACAGGGGTTTCGCCTTGAATTTTTCTCAGGCGTATCTGAATACGCCACTAAGAATGAGATCAAGATTATCTTGGTACAAACCCGTTTTCTGACTTTCTGGGCATCGTAACGGATTTGAGTAAACTCCCGCAAGCCAAAGGAGCCACCAATAACCAGCAGCTGAAAGAAAGACATGAAGAAAGAGGGTGTGGGGTTATCATTTTGGTTACTGTCCAAACTCGCAGCATGCTTGGAGCTGTCTATTATGAAAAAGTGTTTCCCGTTTTCTTTTTACGGGCAAAAAGCAAATGATTAAAAAAATCATTTTAGTGACGTTTACATTGACAATTACTGACTAGTATTACTACAATGGTTATAGAAAGATTTTTTTTAAAACAGGCATTAGTAGTCGACTGCTTTCCAACACATATTTAATGTGTAACGATACAAAGTTACACCCCCAAGTTTTACATCTAAGGTCATTTTACAGTGGCTAAAGGACGCGGCATACAGTCAAAAAGAATTAAATGTTAGTGCATTAAAGCGGAAAAATAATGAATTCGACGTCTAATGAATATCTGTCTGTGTTATGCTACAACAAGCGAACTACCTGATTTACTCTAATAAGAGTGTTTATGCAAGTGCTAACTAGCTAACATAACCTGTGATACGGTCAGTTCATGTACGTAAAAACTCCTGACGTCAGACCAGATCATTCTTACCAGCATAGGGACTCCATACTTGACGGTTTTGTTTCTCTGCAGTGTCTTCCAACTAAACATGACTTCAGCTACATGTTCCTCTGTTGTCATCGGTGAGCAGGTCACAACAGAGGAAGCGCTTTTTTCCTGTGTCCGACATCAAAATCTTCCGGATAGGTACAAGTTTACGAATATTAGTTCCCATTGTTGCTCTTCCGCTGAATTTTGAACCTCTGGGATAGTATACATCAGCCTCAGGCGGTAACAAACTTCACATGCAAAAATATTTATGCGTCACCAAATCACTTCATGAGTTTTTTTTTTTTTTTTGCACAAATATGTTTTATTCCAAAATACCACTTGGTGAAATACCACTCACGTCAGAAATAAAAATGTCAATGTATATTTTAAGGCTACTATTTTTCATTTCAACAAGTGTGAGTATTTTTCCAATTGTTCTTCCAACTGCTTTGCAAATCTACAAACCTAACAGCATGTAGGGATTTCTATCCTGTTGAACCAGTAAACCTCCACCTCAAGTTTCTTCTGTTTTCCTACCCGATATGATACAAAATGTAATTTTTAAATGATTAATTCATTAGGGGGAAAAAAGCTACACCCAGTGAACCAATGTGAGAGTCATTAAAGAAAAGCCGTGAACTTTTGAGGCCGGAGAGCTTAAATTTCTTCCAAGAGGTCATCAACAATTTAACTAGGAATTCCCAGAATTGTGAAAATCTTCAAAAGCTGTTCACATTTCCATATTTTTCTTATTTGTGTGCTGCTATGATATACACCACCAGTACATAACTTAAAGGCCTTGGTTGTGATGCAACAAATGTGTAGAAATTGTAAGAATACTTTGACAGAGTGCTGTATGCGTGTACTCTTTGGTCACAGTATGATCAGAACACACATGCACACAGGTGTTCTTGTATCAAAAACTGACAAAGTACAGACTTTTTTTTTCTTTATTACAATTTTCCGTCTCTTATTTCAACCAGGTGAAGAAAAATACCTTTTTTTTGTTCAGTATAATAAAATATGTTAACTTTATTCATTTTTCTGAAGAAAATCAATGACAAAAAAAAAAAAAAAAAACAACACATTTTATCTCTCCCTCTTTGTAAACCTGGAGAGTCGCTGCTTTGCAATGAAAAGCAAACACAACAAAGACGGAGTGAAGGAGGGGAGGAGGGAGCGGTGACGAAGCTGGACAGGTGGAGAGGACATGGAAGATACTGACAAAAAGATAAGGCCTGAAACGTACAAAAAAGAAAAAAAAAAAAAAATGAGCGCAGCTGGACAGGAGAGTGGAGGCAGGCCGGAGCACGTGGTGGTGAACGGAGCGGGGGGAGGATGGTCCTGGGTCAGGACGCCCGACGCCAGTGTTCAGAGGTCGCTCTCCCCGTATAGAGCCGTGGAGAAGGACATGTAGTCCAGGGCTCCGGGGACGCCGTCGGGGCCCGTGTAGGGGGCCATGCGCGCGATGCAGTACTCGGCCTGGTCTGGGGGCAGCTCGCGGCGCAGCTCGTCAGCCAAGATGTAGTTCTGCAGAGAGTCAGGAAAAACCGAGGTTCAATTTTGACATGTCAGATTATGTCCAGTAGATTCATTGGATCCATTTCATTTATGGTTTTGGTTGTTGTATTGAATTTTTTAATATTTAAAATGTCATCCAGCTCTAGTGCTTCTATAGTTCTTTACAAAATTTAAGCTTATTGGTCTTTGAGACAGTGAATTTGCATTATTACCCCATTATTGATATAGCATTTCAAAATAGTCTCATAAAACAAAACCATAATTTATTATAAGTTCCATTGCAATTTATCACCCAGAAAACTTATTGTGACAGAGCTAGAGAGCACCGATTGCAGTTTTCTGGCTGATCAACGATCTGCAATAAATTAATTTGGGGGGATAAATAGAAACGCATCTCATACTTTTCAGACAGATTAAGAAAAATGAACCACTTTATTTTCTTTCCACTTTGATTTGGTCTGTCCCATAAAATCTCACTAATCTTTTCTCTACCTATACCCTGTTGCACTGCAGCGGGTTGTTGGGTTTTCTGAGTAGCTCTGTGTACCGTACCTTGTCCCCAGCGAGAACCTTGAAGGACGCCATGACCTGGTCGGCTGTGTCCGTGTCGGCCGTCTCTCTGGACATGAAGTCTATGAAGGCCTGGAAAGTGACGATGCCCATTCTGTTGGGGTCCACTACGCTCATGATGCGGGAGAACTCGTTTTCCCCCTGGTGGCGACAGACAGGTCACGGTAAAGCAGCTGTAGTCGGACGATGTCATACAAAAACGGGTAAATCGAAGTGCGTAAAGATAGCTGAGAATTTACACCTTAAACTTCAGGTTGTGAAGAAGAGATTTTCATCTATTTGAAAAAAATAACTATTCAGAAAATGACATAATTTAACACAAGGCTGAAACAATTAATCGGATAAATCATGATTAATCAATTATTGAAATAATTGTCAACCAGTACATCATACAGACTCAAAGAAAGGTCAATTTTTGAAAGAACATATTTTCACATGTTGACATTAGAAGTGTTTTTAAAGCTGCAGATTCATCCTTTGCTACAAACGATCAAGCATTCACTAAAGGAATCTTTTGAAATCCGATTAATCAATTAATCGTCAGAATAAATCAATAACTAACATAATCACCAGTTGCAGCCCTAAAACATCCAGATTGTCCACTTTTCTTGTTTTAAATCTCATTAAATCTACATCCATTACCAACTCCAAGTGGTCCGGCTCTCACACAGAGACATGTTCATACTTGAAGAGTGCTCAATGCTTTACCAGGTTGTAACCCATGGAGATAAGGCAGGTTTTGAAGTCTTCTGCATCCATGATTCCTGTTCTCTTCTACAAAGTCAGCGACAGACAAACATAACCAGCAGGAGAGGCGAAGTACAGCAGAGGGAGGGAAAGGAAAAGAAATCACGAGAAGAAAGGTTCGAGTGAGAAGATTTTTAAGCAAAGTGTGGGGAAAACAGAGAGTTCAAACAGGAAGAGTAAAGACAAAAACACAGGAAGAGAAGGAGGGATAACAGAGGAAAGTGCAAAAGAGAAAAGAAAAGAAAAGAAAAGAAAAAAAAAACTTCAGTTAAACCTCGCACTGCGGGAGTGTGGCTACGATCAAATACCTGCGCGTCGTTGGCGATATCGAAGCCCAGGCTGATCAGGCAGGCCTTGAACTCTTCCGCGCCTAGAGTGCCCGAGTGGTCCTGGTGTGTGGGGGAGGGGCCACAGGCCATGCAGCAACACATACAGCCCAATCAGTGATGGCGAGGGGGAAACGGGGAAGGGTTGTGGGGTGTCGGGTAGGTGGTTGGGTGGAGGTAGTGCACCATGCACGGGAGAGGGGAGGGGAGGAAGAGGAAGGTGAGGGTGAAGGGAGAGGGCCATGCATAAGAGACAGAAAACAGAGAACACAGTGCATATCGATTAGGACCGGGCAGGTGAACACATGGTGGCAGCGGCGCTGCCATGCTTGGCGAGGCATTCAGAGGCGTTAATGTGCAGCGGGGCGGGCGGATCACAGGGCCTCCAGGTGGGATTATTCATATCGTCAATGGCACAGAAACAGAACAACAACAACAACAATGCAGGAACTAAGAAGTACGACGGAGTATGAGAGCCATGCTAAGAAAAATATAAATATGTAATACGAGAGCAAATCACAAAATTATGAGTGTGAGAGTAAAGTCGCACGGGAAAAATGGCTGAGATAATTTGAGAATAAACTCGTACGTGAATAAAGTCGTAGGATATCGAGAATAAGTTTGTACGAGAAAAAAGTCAAAATAAAACGAGAATAAAGTCATAAAATCACCAGAGTGAAGTCAAAATATTATGAGGACTCTGACACAAAAAAGAAGTCTTACAGCTGTGGTAAATGTTAACAGATTAAGTGTTTCCTAATTCACAAGATGCTCAGCATTCCTTGTTTTATGGAAGATGTTTTCTCATGCAAGAGTTCTCAAAATATTAAGATTTTATTCTGGTAATGCTACAACTTTATTGTCGTAATCTTATGACTTTATTCTCGAAATGTTATTTTTCTATTTTATTTATTTCTTAGCGTGGCCTCAGTACTCCAGCATAAAAAAGACAAACTGTTTGATTTTCTTTCCTTTAAAACAGAAACCTAAAAAAAAACATGATTAAAAACAAACATTCATTTTGAATATGCAACAAATGAATCAAGTCTTTAAATTACCAAAACCCCCAAAAAACTATTTACATACATTAATAGACGAGATTCACCCCAAAAATAACGAATCACCTTTCTGAGTTTCTTAGGAAAAGTTTACACTCCAGCTGCATGTTGTCATGTTTGTGCGTTTGGTCAGACAGAGAGTGAGATAGTTGGATGGATCTGCGTCTAACCTGAAGAAATGCTCCTGGATTTCCTGTTCTGATCCTCGTCTACGGTCACGAGATTTGCATCATGGCCGCAAGGACAAAATCATAGAAGCCTGTTAAAACTTTCCCCTCAACACAAACTAATCTGGATCATTGTTTCCTTGTTTAGAGCTCACTACGACTTTCCTTTGTCATTTCAAAAGCCGAGTTAAATGACTTCTGAGTTGCTCTGGATGCTGGCAGGACCTGCCAGGAGCAGGTGTGACGTCAGGGAGACTTACCTGCTGCTGGAACGAACCCAGGACTCTGACATCACAGGATGGGATGGAGGTCAGCTTCATTGAGTCGACATAGGGGTTATATGCAGTTTTCCATGTTATTCTCTTTAGCGGTCTTCCCCTTTATCTCACTGTTAGGCATGCTTACTCAATTCTATTTAAATCAGTAATTCTCTATTTATTTTGTTTCTATTCATTCGTCTGTTTTTGTTTTAAATTTTTTTTATTTTTTTTCTGATTTACTCATCCAATCTTGGATGAATTTTAGTCAAATAGTAATATCTTATGTTGTTTAATAGGCTCTAATTTTAAATGTCTGTCCAGTTAGAATTTAACTACTTAAGATTATTTCACGTTATAGATTAAATTTCAGATGAAGTTCCAGATCTCTACATTTTTCATAATGACACTTTAATGCAAAGTTGACACTTTTAATGGACTTTCAAAGCAACCTTTAGAGCAACTTTGCATTAAAAGTGTCATTATTCACCAACTGACACTTCATGACAACAGTCAGACATTCATAAAGATTTCTTTATGTTCATGACACTGCCATGTCAGTCTTAAACACCCCGTCAAATAAAGTGTTACCACGTTTCTTACGCATTTGAGTATTTTCCTACAACAGTTCCATGATAAATCCATGACTTTGTTCTGCATCTATTCTCTGATTGGTTCCCACAAAACCCTTTGTAAGGATTGAACGGTCAGCCGTCCCTCTGGCCGCGGCTCTGCGGAGCGACTCGGTACTGACCCTGTCGAAGTGGTTGAAGGAGGCGCGGAACTCGTTGAGCTGCTCCTGGCTGATGCCCTTGGCGTCTCGTGTCAGGATCTGGTTCTCAATTTCGTTGATGGTGCGGGCGATGGTGGTGAGTAGCTGCTCCCAGCCCACACGGATGTGCTGCACGGCAGAGAGAGACCGGGAGAAGAGGAAGAGGATGATGAAGGGGTGGGAGAGGCCTGGATCTGAGCGTCAGTCTTCACTTTGGTTCCATTTAGAACCAATTTCAGGGAAATGCAACCCTGATGCATTCTGGGATGTCATAATATTTTAGGCCCGTCTGGTGATAAATTTCCTTCAATATTTTCCAACATTAAGGTCACCAATGTCCATGTACTTTACTGGGATTTTATGTCAGACTAACTGGAAGTAGCCTGTAAATGTGAAGCGGAAGCAGAAATATTAAATAATGCACCAATTTCTTTTTTTTTTTAACCAATAAAATGGATAAGAAGTTTGGCATGGAGCTGAATTCATATGTCAATTTGACTGAGCCATTTTAAACCATGAAAATGCTTTGATAGAACCGTTTGTGTTTAGCATCAACCCACCAGCTTACATTTACCCATGATGGACATAAAACAAAAAGCTAGCCAGCTAACAAGGGTATATTATTAGCTGCTAGTCAGCAGCAGCCTCAACAACTTCAATTGACATAATGGCTTGAGAAATTCTGGATGCGACTCAAACGTTTGCCTGACAAAGTCCAGCGAGAAAAATAAACTACATAGAATATGGTGATTAATGTATTTAAGGCCAGCTTACATTTTTTATTATGAATCTTAGACATTTTAAGGCTTTAATTTCAAATTTAAGACTCCAGATACCCTGTGTCAAATAATCCATATTTCAGTGGAGATCAGCATCATCAGGAGGACTGGATTTGATCCGTCGCAAACATTTACCTCCATTGTGTAGTTGGTGTGTTTGTTGTCGAAGATGAGAGCCTCCTGAATGAGTTGGTGGTCTCCCTCCAGCTGGTCGATCTTTGGCTTGTAGTTGATGATGCTTTTCTCGTACTGGCGGAGGTGCGTCAGCTGGTCCTCTAAGGTGCCGTGCATTTCGATCGAGATCCGGCCGATTTCCTGCTCAGGTGCACGGACAACGCCATGAGATGTCTGGCTTTTACAGCCTCACCACAAGTTTTCACATTTGACCTCGTCATGAAGTTTTTGTTATATATATGATCAGTGAGAGGTAAAGTTGTCAACCTCCATCTTGGTCTGTATCCAGGGCCCAATGACGTTGGCCTGTGTGGCGAACTGCCTGCGCAGACGCTCGTTGTTCTGCTGCCGGGCGTGCTCTTCGATCAGAGCCTGGTCTCGCTGAGGCACCAGCTGCCTGACCTGCAGATTGGAGTTAAAATTGTAAAAAAAAAAAGCCCAAGAGATTTTTATAACAAAAACAAGAAAAAAAAGAGAACAAACTGAGCAATCACTCTGTCTTAAAGTGAAAGAAGAAAGAGATCTCTGTGTACCAGTACCTTATCCCATTTAGCGTTGATCTCCTGTGGGTTGATGGTTGTGTAGGGGTTGGTGCCGGCCATGTTCACATGATAGGTCTGCACGATTTTGGCGATCTCATTGTGGATGCCCAGGATGGCCTGGCGCTCTTTGTCAGCCTCTGGCAGTGTGGCTTTGAACTGCTCATGGGCTGTGCTCAGTCCCTGAAACAACAACAGACGTCTGAAAAAGCATGGACTCCCGTCTTCTTCTGTGGGATAAACCGAAACGGTGACAGTTTTCATTTTAGCTTGAAGAGAACACATTAAAGTATGTACACCTTGAACACACCAGCACCACGTTCCTTCCTACTTTGGCCAAGTTTGTCCTGGACAATAGACAGAGCTCTTAAACAACAACAAAAATGAGATTTTAAGTTTCTTTATGTTATTTTGGAATGTAGCTTGAGAGGAATCACCAAGACTTCTGTTCAATAGGGATTTCACTGCTGAAACACTGATGCCTGCAGATGGCGTCACTGTTTTAGGTGCCACACTTCAATAAATAATCACTTAATTGAGTCACCAAATAAAGTGGGAGGACTCCCAAAGCCCAACTCCGAATCAACTCTTAAAGCTTTTAACGCAAAGTTCAGGTTTGGGACTGATGGGGACAAGTTGAAGTCTTAAATCTGTAAAAGGTAAAAGTTTGAGCCAAGTCTGACGTCCCTTAGGGTCCAAATCAAGTCTAAAGGTTCCCACGTACTCCTCAGACGAACCGTACGTATTCTGAGAGTCCAACGTACGGATCACCTTCGTTTCTCCTGACAAATTCCTTCACTTCCCACAAGCCGAATGGATACAAAGCAAGTTCGAAGAGCTGGTTGGGTGCCTTTCCCGTTTCTTCTCCACCAGGGCAGCAATCTGTACAAGCGGAGGTCTACTTTGTGCAGCAGTAAAGTCCACCAGAATCCTTGGGACTGGTTGCGCCGATTCCCAACCTCATCAGCTTGGCATCAAAAACAAAACGGTTTGACGTGAATACCGTTTTCCGCCAAGCAATTTACCGTGCGACACAGTACGGTAAGTTCACAGTACTGCACAGTACGGTAAGAAGTTCAACTCAAATTTCGAGGCTTTCACCCCAAGTTGAGTGTCAAGTTTGTAAGGATCCAGCTCAAATCAAGTCTCAAGTCTTTGAAGGCCAACTCTGTTTAGCACATTTTTAACATTACCTTATTAAATAAATTCTTGTTTGGTTCGGACCGGTTTAGCTCCTTGCTCACCTGGATTTCTTCAATTGTGTGAACGATGAAAGTGTCCTGCAGGTCCTCCATGGCGCCCTCCATCCAGTTATTGAACGGCGCTGCTCTTTTGGCAAACTCAAGGTACAGCTGGTCGATAGTTTCAAGCAATTTCTCAGTTCTCTGGTGAGATATGAAGAACACAAAGGATTTTTTTTTGACACCCAGTGTTTCAGAGAAACAAGAATTCACTTTGGTTTTATTTCCCAACCAATCACAAGTAACACTCCGGCAGCACCGCAGCTTTCAGCAAGGTTCACCTGCAGTGCCTCAGTGCGTTTCACGGTCATGGCTCCCAGTGCGTCCCACTGATCGCAGATCCGCTGGCAGCGAGCGTTTACACTGGGGGAGTCGTAGTAGTCCAGCTCACTGCAGAACAAAACCAGTCCTCACTTTCTGGCATGCTGATGGTTTCCTGTCCACTCGTCCTCTCTCTACCGTTTATCGGATCTTACTTTAACTCCTGCGCTATCGCCGCGATCTGCTCCACGCGATCCTGGTGTGCGGCGAGGTCGCTCTCGAAGGCCTCGTGTTTCTTCAGCAGAGCCTTGATCTCTGACAGAGAGGCAGTCTCGTAGTCTCGCTTCTGCAGCAAGTCCTCCTTACCTGCGCAGGAAACCAGAAATGTCACTACGAACCCATTTTAGATGTAGAGAAGCTAACTGCGTCACTTTAAGAAGATGGAGGATTTATTTTTTTGTTTTTGGTAACGGCTCAGCACCTTCGGTCCAGGCTTCGTGGATCGCCGCTTTCTGTCGGAATTTCTCCGCCAGATGGTCGAGTCGCTCCAGCCGGCGAATCTCGTTGAGGAGCCACTCTTCGTAGCCCTTTTCCGCTCCCTCTAGGCTTCCCCAAGCGTTATTGATGTCCTGCACAAAGCCAACAAAAACATTTGAGTATTTGTTTTAGGCGACACGCCGCACTGGAATTAGGCTTGCCCCGATGTTGAACACTTGGAATAAATCCATTTGAGGCTAATTTTAGATAATATAGCTTCAGCTCTTCCTTAAATGGACATTTGAGTTCTCCATTCATGTTTAAAGGAATATTCAGAAATTTTTAAAGTGAGATTATGCTAAAGGGTCATATTTTACATGCTGAGGATTTCTCCCTGGTGTCTTCGCTTAGCATTTTAATGTCCAGTTTTAGTAACAAATAAAAAAAAAACAGTTTGTGTTGACACTTTAAAAACCTTCAAACAATTTTTTTCTAATGGTTGATTTACAGAAGCTGATTATACAGGAAATTGGAAGAGGAGGCAGTGCAACACTAATAATACTCCTCCTGAAGCGTTTTTCACTCAAAGAAAATTAAACTGATAAGGAATTAAAATAATTATGGCGATTTATGTGAAAGTTTATACTGTTACTACTTACATTTCTATTAGATAATGACTCTCACCGGAAAATGCTTTACGTACCTCTTTTTAAAAAGTCAAAAATATTTTTGAATTTTTGGTACACGTTTCTCATAGGAAGATAATTGGTGGCGAACTGCCTCCTACTTCCATGTGTAGTTCATCACTCCTATCGTCGTAAATGATGAACCAATCCAAACATGGCGGCGTTTTAAATGTTTACAAAATAGCATTAGCATAAACCGCCAGGAAAGTTTTGAGATTGGAGTTGTTCAAGAAAATAGTAGTGGTTTACCAAACAAAAATAATATCCATTTACCATCAAATTTTGACAAATACTTAATGTGAAGAAAATACATGCAGATTCACTCTCATCTTGGATCCAAATTATCTTTTGATTGGATCAGAATCAAATCTTCTGCTGCACTCAAAGTTGTTATTCTGGGTTTCAGCCTAGAGAAAGTGTTAACATTTTTTTACTCTTGTTTGTAACCTAAACTATTTTAATTTCACATTGCAGCTGTTCATCCATTAACATCAGAGGCATCAGGAAATCATCCAGTGACAAGGATCTGGCAATTTTTCCAGGTTGATCGGTCATGACTGGCGATCATCAAATATCAGATTTTTCCCCCCGACCAGTGAATGCATCACATCCAGGAGCAAATATGAACAGCAGAGGTTGTAACTAAGCAAAGGAGACTTAAAAAGTACATGAAACTAGGCTGCAGAGACGTAAGTATGAGAAGGTTTGTACAGAATGTGGTTCTTGTTGAAAGCATAGCGACATACCGAGACCATCTTTCCCTCGGAGGGCATGAAGGCGGGCCTGTTGCTGAGCCTCAGTTTGGTCTGAAGGGTGTTGAAGTTGATCTCCAGCTGGCACTTCTCCTGCACTTTGGGCGGCTTGTGGAGACGACGGTAATCCCTGAAGTCCTCCAGCTTCTGCTGCATGGCCTGCATGGTGTTCTCAGGCAGCCTGTTCTCCAGCCAGGGGATGGTGCGACGGATCCACTCCAACAGCTGAGGGGTTGTGTGTGTGTGTGTGTGCATTAAGGAGTAGCGATAATACAACAGAGACGAAGGAGAAAAGCATGTTGATGGAAGTAAAGATGAAAGGAGAGCCGCACAATTGGAAAAGACGGGGAGAATTGGTGGAGGTCATCAGAGAGTCGTGGAAGAAAAGTGTGTGATTTATGTAGTTGATGGAAAAAGGAGGAGAAAAAGTAGAAATCATCAGTTAGCATAAAATGTTATGTCTAAATTCTTGCAACTTAATGTATTTGCAGTACAATTTCTTCGGTTTTTGCACGTTTCAACACTGAGCCGACATTTTTAAAGCTTTATGAAGAAAATCTGTAATGTTTAAAACACTAAAAACAAGCCTTTCTTTTATCCTACAGCATCATTAAACCTTGTTTTAAAGTTTTAATGATGCTTTAGAAGATGATGCCTTCTAAGCATTTGCAAGATGAGGGGGAAAAATAAGAAGTTAAATCACCATTTTTATGACTCATGAAACAAAAAAAACAAAAAAACAAAAAAAAAAAATCAGTGGCTTGTTTTTAAAGTGTTTGACATTTATCTACCAAGTAAATACAAAGCAACAGCTTGACGTATCTGCTTGAAATTACAGGAGCAAGTTTAAGTTTCTCCAAATACATGTTGCTGTGTTTTTTATATATATATATATAAATATAATAAATGCAAGTTTTTTTTCATGGAATAATTGTATTGAATTCCCACAGGAGAATGAAAAAAAAAATACCAGTAATGTGTTTAGATCTAATCTTCTTGTCATTAGTTTTCCACAAATGACGTCATTATCCCAGTTGAAGAAAATGTTACTCTCCTCTCTTTTGTTTTGTTTTCCACTTATTTTAAATCTTAAAAATAGAAACATAATTGTGGCTCTTTAAACGTTTCCTCTGGCAGATATTTCTCATAAATATCCAAGTTGTTTTGCAGCTCTAAACTGGTTTATGGCGGAGCACTGAGGGTTTAGATGGCTGCTGCAGACCCCAATAAAATACAGTGATGTTTGTAAAAATTCAAAGTGTGTAATAAATATTTCCATGTTTACAAGAGTTTTGGTGAGTTAGTAATTGTAGACATGTAAGCTTGTTCCTTGGCAACTAGTTCTAGTTTAAGGCTGCATAAACGGCAGACAGTCCACAGACTGCAACACGTAGAAAAAACTTTAAAAAAGGCTGCAGTATGATTTGATCACAATCACAAGTGTTGCACAACGCACAGAACTCAATACAAGTCCTGTTTTTTCTGGCTGGCTACATGTTTATCATTATCCGCCTTATCTGCACCTGAACGCAGCACAAGCATCCCCCGAGGGTGGAGAGGGCAGGGATGCAGCTCAGAGAGCAGGGAATGGAATAAGTGAGGAGACATAACAGAGGGAAAGGAGCGGGGAGTGCTCACGTCACTGGCCAGCTTCTCGTAGTCCTCCATCAGCTGCTCGTTCTCCTGGTTCACCGCCAGCACCTTGCAGATCCGGTTGGCCGCCGTCTCCGCCTAAACCACCAGGGCGAAGCAAGAAACAACGTGAGTTCCACCGTCCACGATACTTACGCACGTCTATCTAAAGAAAGCTCTGTGAAGTTAAAGTGTTTTTTTTTTTTTTTTTTTGACGTTTGGCTGCGATAAATTAATCCTAACCACCCACAGAGAATTCCCAAGGGAATCGCTTTAGGGAAAATCGGGCAATTAATCAGCAAACGCTCCGAAACTGATGGAATCAGGACGACTCTGGGTTTGTGTTTTATTAAAAAAATAAATAAACATAAAAAAGTGTGACATCTAGAGCATTGTTTTTTAAAGAGGGGCCTCAGAAAACGACTAGTAAATTAGAAAAAAATGGAAAAATAAACTTTGTTTTGCATATCATCTGAAAATTTTTATATATATTTGATCAAATTCTGTTTTTCAATCATTATTGTAAAATATAAGTTAAAATAATCCATTTAAATGTTATTTGCCATCCTTGGAATCCAGAAATACATAACAGGAACAGTCACTGCTTAGTTTATATTACTTTTAACCCAGAAAAGGATTTAGAATAAACTTAGAATTGTGGAGTATTCACTTTAACCCAGAAAAGGAATTAGATCAGTCATTCTTTAGCTTATTTTATCAGAAACTGTAGAGTATTCACTATTTAGAAATGGAATTAGACACTTAGCAACCCTGAACAGGAGCACTTAGTTTACATACTTTAGAACAACATTAGATTAGTTTTCTTTCCTCTTTTTTCTTTTCTTTGTTATTTTGTTTGTGTTTCCTTTTAACTCATGTAAAGAACTTTGAATTGCCTTGTTGCTGAAAATGTGCTATATAAATAAAATTACCTTACCTCATCTTTCTGACTGGCTGATTGTTTAACGTATCGAGCTGCTTTACTCCTCTAGCTAGCTTAGCAAGGCTAACTAGCTTAGCAAGGCTAATTAAAAATCTGAACGTACGAGGCGGCATTTATGTTACACGAATGCAATAATTATATAATTGCAAATAAAAGTGAGAAAAAAAACATTCTAAAAGTTGATGTTACTTTACGTGTTTTGTGGCATGTTTTGTGAGTTTGTAAAGGAAGTCATAACCTAATGCT